GTTGACAATGCTCACTGCATATGAGATATCGGGTCTGGTGATAGTTAGGTAGATTAGCTTACCAACAAGCCTCTGGTATGAACTGATATTGGAGAGGGGAGTTCCGCCCATTGTAAGTTTGAGCTTGCTGTCGAGAGAGGTGGTGGCAGGCTTTGACTCACTCATGTTAGCATCATTGAGAAGATCCATGACATATTTTCGTTGATTGAGAAATAGACCCTTGTGAGAGGATGCCATTTCAATCCCAAGAAAATATTTTAACACCCCAAGATCTTTGATCGCAAACTTTTGTTGTAGTGACTGTTTGAGTTTGAAGATCTCAGAAGCATTGTCACCAGTGATTATTAAATCGTCCACATAAATCAGCACAACTAACTTTCCACCAGCTCTAGTACGTACGAACAATGATGAATCTGCTCCACTTCTTTTGAAACCAGTACTGTGAAGAACTGAGCTTAGTTTAGCATACCAAGCACGAGGGGATTGCTTCAGTCCATAAATGGACTCATGCAACTTACACACCAGATCAGGGACCTGACTTTGAGGATGGCCAGGGGGCAATCACATGTAAACTTCTTCTTCGAGATCATCGTGAAGAAAGGCGTTTTTCACGTCCATTTGATACATAGTCCAACCTTTATTGACAGCAACAGACAACAACACCCTTACTGAGTTCATTTTTGCAACTGGCGCGAATGTTTCTTTATAGTCCACTTCAAATGTTTGAGTGAACCCTCGAGCCACTAACCTGGCTTTATGCCTCTCGATTGAGCCATCTGCATGAAATTTTATCTTATAGATCCACTTGCAACCCACTGCCTTTTTTCCTTTTGGAAGTTTGGTGATGCTCCAGGTGTTGTGCTGGTCTAGAGCATTGAGTTCATCTCTCATTGCTTCCTGCCACACTGCCTGATGGTTAGCCTCATGGAAACTTTGAGGCTCCCTGTAACTGGAGATGTTGTTAAGAAAGACTGCATACGAGGGGGTCACTTTTTGATATGACACATAACTTGACATTGGATGCTTTGGTTTGTATATATCAAAATCGTGAAACCTGGTGGGAGGCTGCCTATCACGCCGGGGATTGCGTCGGGGTGCTGGGAGAGAAGGCTCACTCTCGTGCAACCCTTCTGCAACATTTGGAAGGTTGTCTTGGTTTTCACTGTCTTCATCTTGTATGAACTCATCTGGTTGAGGGTCTTGAAGATCAGTGTCTGTGTTGTCATGACCGAGACTGAGTTCTTCGTGGTGTAAATCCTCAGATCCAATTCTTGGTAATGGAAACAGGTCCAGGGTGCCATTCCCTTGGTCTATGTTTTCACTTGGTTTAAAAAAAGGATTAGTCTCATGGAATCTAACATCTTTGGACACAATCACTTTCCTTAGTTGGGGATTATAGCACTTATATCCCTTTTGAGTGGATGAATAACCAAGAAAGAGACATTTAGCAGCTCTGGGATCCAATTTGTCTTGGTGTTGAGACTGAACATGCACAAAACAGATGCAACCAAACACTTTTAGATGTGAGACATCAATTTTTCTTCCTTTCAGGACCTCTAGGGGGGACTTGTGTTCCAAGACTCGACTAGGTAACATATTGATGATGTATGCAGCTGTCATAACACCTTGTGACCAATACCTCTTAGGTACATGCATTTGCAGCATCAGTGCTCTTGTTTTCTCAAGAAGATCTCGGTTTTTACGTTTGGCTACCCCATTTTGTTGAGGGGTTCCAACGCAACTCGTTTGATGCATGATGCCATGAGCACTTAAATAATGTTTCATGATATGGGACATGTATTCGGTGCCATTGTCAGATCGCAAGGTTTGTATTTGAGATAAGAAGTGGTTTTTTACAAGGTTATGAAAATCTTTAAATACCTCTATAACCTCACTCTTAGACTTTAGTAAGTACAACCAAGTAACCCGAGAGAAGTCATCCACAAAAATCACAAAAAACTTGTAACCATCAAACGATTCACTAGTTGGTCCCCATACATCGGAATGAACATGTTCAAAACACTTACTTGTTCTAGAAAGAGAAGATTTAGAGGATAATCTAGTGTCTTTAGACAAGTGACAGGTTTCACAAATCATATCATCCTTTCCTAAATTTGGAAACAAAGTTGACAAAATGGGAGAGGAAGGATGTGCTAAACGTTGATGCCACAACCAAGCATCACGAGTGGATTCGAACTTGGTTTGAAGACCTTTGGGATTGCTTTTTGACAGGTAATAGAGACCGTCTAAGTAAAACCCTTCCCCAATCGTCCTTTTGGTGACACAGTCCTGAAAAATCACATTGTGAGGAGAAAAAATGGCTAAACAATTCAAGGTATTTGTGATCCTTCCCACAGATAGAAGTTTAAATGGAAAGGAAGGGACATACAAAGCTACAGACTCGAGTTCATCTGACATCAACTTGATTTTTTCTTTTCCTAAAACCTTTACTTGGTTTCCATCTGCTATTGAGACTTGAGACGGTTTTGTCAATCTTTCAAATTTTTGAGAATTAGACACAAGGTTGGTCATATGATCTGTGGCACCCGAATCTATAACCCAAAAATCATGCAACATATTTAACTTTAGTGCAGTTTTAAAGGCTTTCATAATACCTGGCATGTCTTCTTGGGGCACAGGATTTGTGTCTGTCAAAAAACCTGTGAACTTGCCAAGCATTGCTGTTGATGTTCCTTCTTCCATGTCCTTGGTACTGTCTCTTTGATCACCTCCTTTCTTGCCTTGTAGAAATGACAGGAACTCATTCATGAGTTCTGTCGGGTTGGCTGTGAAATTCTTGAATGAATCTGCCTTATTGGAGATGGAGGTGGATGCAGAATTAGCTCGATGTGGAGTACGATTCACCCTTGGTACATTCTTCATGTAGTCTGGCTTTAATTCTGGATGTAAAATCCAGCATGTGTCCCTAACATGACCTGTGTTATTGCAGTGTTGACACTTTAGGTGAGGGTGTTTTCCTTTGTACCTTCTTTCGTTAGTTACATATGCCCTAGACTCCGGGACATTTGGCATAGTACTTATGTTCATGACTTTCCTCCTTACTTCCTCACGTTGAATCGTTGCACACACGCTTGGAAAGGAAGGTAGTTCTGTGTTCATGAGTATGTGACATCGCAGATCTTCATATGTTGAGTCAAGACTGGACAAGAGTTGGAAGATCTTGTCTTCTTCTGCCCTCTTTCGTAGCAACGCTGCATCTGTCGTATGAGGTCGATATGTTTCCAACTTGTTCCACATGGTCTTCATACTTCCCAAGAGTTGCACGAATGGCTTCCCATCTTGTTGTAACTCGGAGATGTCTTTTTTTAATTGGAAGACCCGAGCAGCATTATTTTGGCTGCCATACATCTCCCTGACTGCTTCCCATAGTTGATAAGAAGATTCTGAGTAGCTGAAAATTTCAGCTAACTTTCTCTCCATGGAATTTAAGAGCCATGACATCACAAGTTGATCTTTGCTCAGCCAAGATTCATAGTTTGACGAGGAAGCATCAGGAACTTTGATGCTTCCATTTATGAACCCTAACTTGGACCTACCACCCAGCGCCAATGACACTGCTCTCAACCATGGCAAGTAATTGAACTCATTCAATACGACTGAGCTTAACCTTTGATTTGGGTTGACATCCACTTCATGCATATTAACGGAGGAAATTTCCGGGGAGCTATCCGCCGTTGAAGCTGCCGGATTTTCTTGTGACATTTTTGAGGTTGAAGAATTTTGGAAAGCAGTATAGCAGGAGCAGGTTAAAGTTCCTGCTCTGATACCATGTTGATTTTCAAAGATTGATTTGTATATTTCTTATGTTGTTACAAGAGAGTGAGAACACTCTTATAGAGAAACACAACACGGGGATACACTGGAGAAACAAACACCAACCCTAAGTACCTGCCCTAGTTCCGAGAGAAGCAAAAGAAGAATAAAATAAGGAAAGAAGGTAAGGGACAAGACAAGGTATGGAAGACACAAGAGTAGGGTTAAGACCATCACTTTAGCCCATCACTTAGCTAAAGTGAGGATGCCAACCCATACTTGAGATCCTTACACAATACTTTGGAAAGCAAAATGTCCACTCCATGAATTAAGGAGTTGACAACATGTCACTAAGAGATCAAACTCAGACATGCATGAATCCGTGCCCTAAAGTACAAGTGACAACTTCCAATAAATGTCAACTTTGCAAGCTCTGGTTTCTGAATTATCTGTCTGAAGTTTGCTTGATTTCAATGTCAACCGAGAGACATTTTCGCCCATTGTGAAATGCGACTTCAAAATTTTGATCGTCGAATGTGAATGATAATGATGCATCCAAGCTTTAGAGCAGTGCTATGATCAATCTCCACGTGCAAGAGCGATTTCCGACAATTGTTCAATGTTGAGTCCACATTCTGTCAATGGTCAGAAATCATCCACACGCACGTACGAACTGACCTTAGCAAAATGCCTTAGCGATACAGTAACTGTGCTTAACGGAGCTTGGTTAAACCACAATTTACTAGCTTGATTACCAAGGTTATCAGTGAAAAAGATGTTACTTGACAAAAAATGACGTGCTCTACTGATGAGATGGATGAACAATTTTCTTGGCTGCTAAGGCAGTCACCTGGTTAACACAATTTTCGTACCGTGAAGAGAACGACGAGCTGTACAGTTTTTTTAGTAGTTTGCGAATGTGACTTGAAAGGGATGATACATGTTAATGTGGTCTCTTTTGAAAACAATTGGGATGTTTGGATTGATATTAACAAACCTAAATTGGTACTAATTAAGTTTAAACTGTTTCTGTCGCCATTGAAAATGACAAGTTCGATACGAATTTATTCCTCCCACCCTTTACGGTAAATATATTATCGTATGAAAAAACTTTAAATTGTTCATTTCGAATTGAAAACAAAATTAAAGTCAGAAGGCTTAGAAAAGTTAGGATATCCTATGAAGTTTTGAGAATATTTTCAGAGGATATTCTATGTAATCATTCCTTTTCTAAAAGAAAGAAACTTTCTTCTTCCAATAACAACAAATCTAATGTACATTGCTTGCTTTAAAAGAATTAACCATTTACACAATCAACACTTTTGGACATTTTAAGAATAATATTTAACACACTATGAAACAAGTTTGGGTATACTAGGTTTGTAACGAGGATGTTCTTCTCCGAGCAAAAGCGCCCTCAGAATCGCCTCACTTAAACCGGCATAATGCACAATCAAATGTCCGCCATCGGGAACTTCGTGATACTGAATCCACGGCAGCTTACTTGAAATGAATCTCTGAAGTTGAAACGGCACAACCTTATCTTCGTAACCTTGCCAAATGTGAACAGACCGCTGGTTTTGTGGGAATGGGTTACTGAGATCCATTGGATCGAAATCCCAAGGGGTGAAAGCCAATTTGAAGTCACGATGCAGAGTATTGAAAACCACTCGTCGCCGTAGATTCTCCTGTAGGTGTGCATACATAAACATTGTTACAGTAATCGCGAGACAGAAACGATTAATATGAAAATTCGGTTCATGGGGAAGCAGCCTTGACTACATAACACCATGGACCCAACGTTCTGACTTGGTTTTACCTGAGTCAGCATTGGGAAGCCTGGTATTATTTTGAGGACATCCATGTCTTTGCTGTTGAAGAATACCGGGTTTCTTTCCATGACAGACGTTGAGGGGAGCCATTTCCGAGTTACCCACCACCGCAGTAGTCCTGGGGCAAATTCTGCAAACAAGAGGCCCCAATGGATGAGTTTTCTCCGATAATCATCCTTTATCAGTTTCTTGGGAAGAGAAGGCCATTGGTAATTGACAACTGGAACTACTAAGGCCACACCTGCGAGCCTACACAAGCAAATGTGATATAAGAAATGTGAAGAGAAACTATTCGAATTGAATGAAGCAGAAAGTCATGAACCTTGAATCCAAAACCGAGCGTATTTACCTCTGTGGTATATGTTTGATGCAACTCCAGGTGGAATATGATCCCATTGAGACTCCAATGACATAAAACTTCGAGCCTAGCTCTAACTGATCGGCTAGTTGTTCGATGTCAAGGGCTTCACTCTTGACCGAACGCTTTGGATTTGGATCACTTTCTCCATAACCTGCCCGGTCGTAGAGCAGGAAATATATCCCCAATTCATCAATTAATTCCTGGAAACTGAACCACTGTGAAAACTCAATCCATCTTCACAGTATTATTTTAAACTGATGCATCGGAACTATATAATCGAAATCAAGAACTTTTCTTGTAAAACAAGTGTATATATACACATATGAATGATCAATGTTTCAATTCGTTGACTTATGAAGATATAAATTTTCAGAACAAATGTTTACCAACCTCAAAAATTAAATTTTTAACTTTCACACTTAATCAAGATTCACAATTTTCCGATACGAGCAATACTATCAAACCGAGAAGCCTGGTGAAGGCGGAATACTCTTAGCCAACTGAGTTACAAGCATGGTTAAGAAAAGAGAGATTGAAAGAGAGTAGTTACTTGGGGAGCCAGGAAACTCATTTCCTTGGAGCTTCCAAAGCCATGAACCATGATGATCTTGTAGTTTGCCTTGTTCTTGGGGACCCCACTTTCTCTGTAGGCCAGATGCCTTCCATCTGCAAGCTTGATTCTTGGTGAAGCTCCAGCAACTTCTTCTGCTTCTTCAGCCACAGCACTTGTTTTTGAATTCTTTCCTGAAAAAACATAACCAAAAATGGAAGATTGGATCTAATTAATTTCAAATTTCATTTCTTGGACCCAAAAATTCAATTGAAAAAAAAAAAAAAAAATTTAAAAACTCACCTGGCATGATTTTCTCTGTTGGGTTTCTGGGATTTCAAAAGGTTAAGAGATTGGTGGGTTTTTACTATACCTGGATATACTTTTGAATGTTCCGCGGATAGGGGAATCTGTATCCTATTATAATTGTATTTCTATATGTACCCTACCAATTTGCTATCTACACCTTCTACGTATATTTTTCCCATTGAATTTCCCATTTTACCCCTCATCGCCCTCTCTCTCTAATTTTCCATTTTTCTACCTCTCCCACCGTACTCCGTTGTCACGACCGACGAAAACCGCTCTAACTCCGGCGACCACAGCCACGATTTTGGTGACACATTGACTGATACCAACTATCCCTTCGTTGCGAGGAAATGGCGGTTGGACTGTGTGTTAGAGTAGAATCATCATCTCTGTATTCTCATTTTTTATGAAGATTTATTGTGTACGTAGTTTTTATTGTATTTAATTTAGGAACCACTTATGGATTTTGTCTAACCCTATACATTGTAAACATCTCCTCAAGTCCCTAACCCCAATCAGCCTCTCTTGACTTAACAAGAACGACACGTTATGAGTTACATCACTAGTGTTATTTTTGAACCCAATCCAAGAGGCAACCAATCGCCTCTTGCTATAGTGCTGAATTTGAATATCGTTTTCTTGCTTATGCTTGTGCGTAGACTGCTTAGCTTTGTTTACTCCTCTATGAACTGGGTGTTCGGCTATCCTTACACGTTCTGCTTCATTGCGACAATCTCATTACTACTTATCTTGTTGATAATCTAATTAATCTTTGCTCACACTCGTCACATTTAGCTTGACTATCACTTTATATGTAAAAAGGTTGGCTCTTGGTTGTCATTGTATTTATCTCTCTTCTACGTTTAACTTAGCATTTGTAAATTGGCCTCCTTTAATTCCTACACTACATGATTATTGTAAAAACATAAATCAAGGTAATACAAATGATTAGCATGCAGAGCACAAACAATTGCGTTGAGAGTATTTTGATTTACCAATCATTTGTGAGATCGAAGCAGCACCCTCTGATGCAGGTGAGATCGCAGCAGCAGCATCTGATGCAGTTAGGTGCTTCTGTGCTGCCATATGCCAGCTCACATCGCCGGTTAGTGAGTTTGGCAAACCGATTCTAACCGGCTGATGTAACAGCCACGTGGCACATGTTAGCTGGTAGCTTGCACGCAAAGAACAACATAAACTTTCGATTAAGAACTAATTTGGATTATTATCTTCCAAATCATGTACTGAGATAATACAAAGAGTTTTTATCCGATACACAATGAGTTAAAGAAAATCCTAATCATCAAAGAATTGACCTCCAAAATAATTACAAAACGAGTTCATTAATTCTAAACTCCGCTAAAACACAACGAAAAAAGAGAGAACGAGTTCCACCTCCCCTCCCGAACACAAACCACCCTTATATTTCATACCAATAAATAAAACAATTTTATTTTATTTTACTTTTATCCATAGGGACATTAGCGTGCGAGGTACGAAATTACTTTTTAAGAGAAAATAGAAAGATAGACAACTTACTTTTGCAATGGACTTGTAGCGTAAGAGCATTTACTTCTATACACGAGGTTTTGTGTCCGTTTCTTCGGTTGACAAAAATCTTGTGGGGAAATAAGGTTCAAATTCTTTACCAATAAATAGTTCACGGAATTTTAATACAGGAACATGAACGTCACTGTTTGTTGTAATTGATCCTCCAATGAGATCCTGATTCTGGGGTTTATACCCCCACGCACGAGCATATTCCTCCGTTTATTGTTTCTTGCTTGTGGGACTTAACATTGGTGCCTCACTTTTAACATGATTCCAATTTCTAAACACAACACAATAAATTTCTAGGTATTAAGAACACGGTTGGAAGTACTTTTAAAATTATTAAAAACGTTTTTAGATAAAATGGTTTTGGGTTTCAAAAGCACTTGAAATGATTCTTGAAAGAAACACTAGTTATGTGCTTTTTGCAGGAAGTATTTCAAATTCTTTTTCAAGGTTTACTTGCATTTATACTAAGAATTGGTTCAAAAAATATTTTTACCAAAAGTACTTTCAGTCATTTTAAAAACAATTCCCAACCAACTCTAATATTCCCATATATATTATTCTAGATCTTAGAGCTATGTGTTTTTTAGTTGTTTGTGCGGATCTTGTCCTCTTTAGTTTAGTCATTTAGAGTTGCCGGATTTGCGTTTTGTACACATCTTTAAGGTATTTTTAAAGTTATTTTAATAAATATCGTTATTTAAAAAAAAAAAATTAATCAAACACTATCGTTCTGAACTCAAAACTATTTCCAACAAAATAAACACGGGTCCCACATTATAAAAGGTCAAACAATTCTAATTATTCAAATTTCATTAATAAATTTCGTGACTTATTAAGCTACAAAGTAAATATTATATCTTGAAATTTTCTTGCAACATTCGATGATACATATAAAATTGCATGAGAAATACACTACGTCACATAAGAAAACTGAAAAAAAATATACCAAAAAATTTAACATACGAAAGTTGCACCTCAAATTTGTGTTCTATTAATTTAGAATAGAATAATGATAAATTATACTTGGATAATGAATGTATTCCAATGAGTGATCAATATAAGAAGTAAAAGAGTCGAGACGATGCGGGCTGGGCTCAATCAAGGCCCGAGTCTACCGGTCCAACAATCACATGCCCACTAAGTGTTCGAATTGATGTTGTCAACGAATACGTGTTCTATTTTTTGAATGAAAACGTGTTCTTAAAGTTTAATGAAAATACATACATATATCTAGACTTGGTCTCAAGGGAGGAAGAGGTAATATTGATTTGGTTCCATTGATAGAGAGTACAGTTACAACACAATTATCAGAGAGTACCAATTGGATGCATCTTTTTCGATGATTAAATTTGTAATCTTAAGAGAATAAAGAACAACACAACAATAATATCTCCCCTACATGGCCACCACAACAAAACACAAGAACTAGTCGTGCGGATCTGCCACAATAGATCAGTGGTGACATATTCGAAACTGAGGAACACACAATGCCAAATCACTAAAAAACTAGGTCACACAAACTGCTAGGCGGTACCAATTACAACTAAGTTGAGAAGGAAACAAACGTCGACTCATCTCCACAATGAAAAAGGACACGTAAGTCTTGACATTAGCAACAGCGCCATATAGATACACAACAATCATAACCCAAGTAAGGAGAATCCACACCAATTTGACCATTTATAAGGCTACCAAGCTATAGATCGAGCCACAGGCTACTGTGGGTTCGTCGTTGGTTCGTTGTGGTTCTGTAACATCGTTGACTTGATATGAATTTGTGACAGTTATGGCCAAGGAGCGCTGGAACGACTGATGAGCGCGTGTCCACCATGGAAACCAAGTGGAAGAAGGTGGTTTCGACCACAGGAGGATCCTCTATGGATCTTATTTGTAAGGATTCTGAGAATCTTCAAATCCTGTTCGTTCATCGTATATCGTACTGTTAATTTTCGTCAGGTACTATTTATATTTAATTTTAAATAAAAGTATTTAAAATTATGTCTGATCGCATGATGTATGATGAACAGACATGATTTGAGAATCCAGAAAGGATCCTCATTCATTTCGACCCACCATTAAGGGTGCAATTTGAGTTCAGCCAACCCGAACTCGCTCACGTCCAACACGAATTTAAACCCAAACAAGCGGGTTTTTTCTTAGTTATAACTCGACCGAACCCAACGTAACTTCAACCCATTCATTTGTTGGGTTGGGTGGGGTTGATTTGTTGCCTGCCCAAGCCCAACCGGATTTATCAACCCACTCTAACCTGATTAAACCCAAATGAACTGATGCACATATTACACCCAAGTCCAACAACCAACAACCTTTTATAATATTTGGTACAATTTCATTTATTGGCAAAGTTGATAGTGTGAAGCTTTTGAACATTGGGGTTTCATGGAGCACTAAACTTGATTCTATTTCTTAATTTGTAGGTCCTCATGTACTTTATTTTAAAGGATTATAATGATAGTTGTGAATATATGATATACAACTAACTATTTTTCTTATTTAATAGAGATGCAAATTGAATACGGACAACAAGACTTCAGTTCGGCGTTTGTTTATATTTGGATATGAAGTGTTGAGCTTTTTTTTCCCCTTTTTGTACAAGCTCTGGTATCTTCTATTTTTAATTCAAACTTTGCATGGTTAAAACTTGCGTATTTGGTTTCACTTTTAAGCGGATATCAATTTGTAGAATTGAATTGAAGTTTTGATTGATTTATAATACTGAGGTTAACTAGCCTTGATGCTATTTGGCTTAATTTTTTAAAAATTAAGTTGTTAAAGGATTAAACTAAAAAAAAGTTGGACAACCCAAACCCAACCAAGTAAACCTGAACCCAATTAAATTCAAATCCGAATAAACCTTAATGAAACTCAACTTGAACTCGAGCCCGAAATGTGAATGTTGGGTTAGGGTTGAGTTGACCCTCCAAACCGCCCAATTTGCTCGAGTTGCACCCCTACCCACCACAACCACAAATCGAACCCCAACTCATAGATCTATCTCAAAAATAGGGTGTAGAGATTGGGTTTGGGAGAGGAACTCCATCAAAACATGGAGGTTGCTCACAAAGCAAGGGTGAAGAGATGGAGAAGGGGAGCTGGGGGGTAGTGAAGGAAGGGAGAAGAAAAAGCATAAAAAATAGGAATGAGGCCTGTCGCCGATCCAAAGCCGTGGCAAGGAGCCTGCGGCTGGAGAGAAAAAAAAAACTTTAAAGAGTTTTATGTTTTTGTCATAGTGGGAGAGGAGAGAACAAATTTAATTTCAAAGTTGCATGTTTTGATTGGGTTCAAAAGTTACATAAGCAGATATAACACAAAAATATATAAATACTAGACTAGGCTAGTAATCTTTAGAGCAAGTACACTTGTTGCCAAAGGGCAATGTAGACCTGACATTCATGTCTTGTTTTCCGTGTTCGTATCGTTTTCATGTCATACCTGATATCTTAATGGGTTGTGTCGTGAAACATCCGTTAAAGTAAATGGGTAATATGATCCGACCTGAAATCGACCCGTTAATATTATCAAGTAATATGATTCGACATGTTACCCGTGAAAATAAATATATTTTAAATTAATAAATAATGAAAATGAAAAACAAAATTTGACCCAAAAAATATAAAACATAATACTGAATTAGTATATGCATACCACATTATCACATAAACATTACTTCAAAACATTAAAAAAAAAAAAAAACATTTGTCATTCAAGTATTACATATCTCAAAATAAGAGGCAAATGAAAAAACATTAGTACATTGCTACAAAACACCAAATGTTCAAGATTATGCAAAATGAAGAGAGCTGTGTTTCAACGTTGAGGATGCAATCATGAGCGTTTATATATGCTTTCACATTTTTTAGACTTGTACATTAATAATTATGAATTTTATTTATTTTGAACTCCCTTACAAATGCTATTCATGAGGGTTTGTGTGGTTCTAAATGGCAACGTACCCATTCTCAAAGTGTAGATGATGCAATCACGAGCGTTTGCCTATTTTTTTCACAATTTTCGCACTTGTATATTAATTATTATAATTTTTTCTAATGTCTTTGGTATTTTTAAATTATTGATATTTTTATTTTTAATGTTGTTATATTTTTTTTAATCTCACACTTTGCCTATAATATACTATAAAAAAATAAAAAAATAAATTTATATAAAATAATAATATAATAATACATATTTAATATACAATATATACATATACATATACACTATGGCTATTGTCTTTTATAGTAAGTTTTTTTAGTAGTTTAAAAAATTAAAATCATAACAATATTATTTTCTTAACATGTCGAAACGGGGGTACCCGCATGACATCCTTGTGTAAACCTGTTAAGGACATGTTATTAACGGGTTCTTATTGTGTGACTCGATAACAACCCTATTAGTTATCGTGTTAACTCAAAACCTGTTATTTTCGTGTTGTTTATGTATCGTGTTAACTAGTTGTGTAAGAAATTGTCAGGTTTAGGGCAACGACAAGGACTTGACAGATGCCCTTCAACCCAAAAAAAACACCTTCAGTGGATCAAATTGAAAAAGGCAAGTTGTGGGCTATGTGAAGCTCACCCAAAAGCCTGAGCAAGTTAAGCCCAACCTTGCACTAACGGGCAAGGTTGACGTCAGTCACATTTTTTATTTTGTGTCTAGCATGTGTAATACATGCGCAAATGGAGGAGAGGGCCGTCAACTTCTGCAACGGTGAACCCCTCTGCAACAGCTCTAATAGAAGAGCCCAAAGGCTCTATGGTGTGGCGCGATGAGAGCCATTGGATTTCCAATAGCCTAATAATCTGGACCGTTGGATTTCCAACAGTGAAAAAAATTGAAAAAATTACCATTGTGCCACATGGTATGTTCTTGTGGATTTGATTTCAGATGAGTAGGAAAATCAACAGTCACAATTAATCCAATCGTAAAATATTTAAAAAAAAAATAGAAAAATAATAATAAAAAAGGAGAAAACTAGGAATGTTTTTATTATTCTATAAATACCCAACCAACTTCTTTATTCCCCACAGCACAACTCAATATTTATTTTTACTAAATCTTCTATATTTGTTTTCTACTTTCCAAATCTCTTTTTTACCAAAAAAAAAAAAAAAAAAGAAAAGAAAAGAGAGTGAGAAGACAATTTGGTCGATTGGGAAAGAAGTTGCTTTATTTGAGGTTTGGGTGCATGTTACTCATGACTCGACCATGGAAAATGAGATGAGGGAACAACAAATGTGGAAGAAGATTCATGCACAATTGGTCGAGGAGATTGAAGACATTTATTTTTAAAATTAATTATGCTTGTTGTAATACTTTGATTTTGCCTTGTATTTGAAATAAACTATGGAGCTAGACAATATTTTTTATTTTCAAAAAACAAACTTACAAAGTTCACATTTAAACAAACTTAAACATATAGTCCCCTTATCCAATAGGTGGAGTTGCACAAAGCGCGTACTACTGAGAGTGAATAGTAACCGCGCCCTTGCCCTCCTAATACAGGTGAAACTTCTCTTTAGGCGTGTTCACATATAAAAGAGAGCTAAGTGCCCACAAGCGCGTGAGCAAATTCGGGTTGTAGATAACATTTAATCAATTGTTAGAAAATCGCGCGTGCGTGTCTGAATGACTGGCCTTAGCAAAATCCTAGCAATAATCAATGTTGCTGTTGAGCTAGGACTATCTGATAGAAGGTTCTTCTCCGAGCAAACGTTCCTCGAAAATGGCTTCACATAGAGCATTCTCATGAATCAACAGACGACCACCATCTTCAACTTCATGGTACTTAATCTGGATACATACAGAGCAACTTACAAGCCTGCAGAAAAATGTTACAGTGCCAAAGAAATGACGTGAATCAGATTACGGTATATTTCCGCTCTGAAGATGACTTTCGAGACAGCAGACGTGTACAATCATGCCGAACAACTTATGAATTCTTTGTGCCAGAGAAGTAAGCTGATGATTAAGTTTTACATTGCAATAAAATACAGAAGATCTTTATATGTAATACACATTGCAGCATTCAAGAAAGACTTACTACTTAGGGAGTTCATAATCCAAGCAAAAGTGCCTTCAAAACGGCTTCACATTGATTCTTGTCGAACATCAGAAAATGCCCAAAATCAGGAACTTCGTGGTAACGAATCCAGGGAAGCTCCTCTGCAATATAACGGTTTAGTTTATAAGGAATGATCCTGTCCTCATAGCCTTGCCAAATGTGAACTGATCCCTCGTTGTCAGGGAAGGGATTGCTGAGATCCAAGGGGTCGAATTCCCATTTTCCATAACCAGCCAGTATGTCTCGGAACAGTGATTCATGCTCTCCTTGCTGCATAATCTTTTCCTGAATTTGTAACATAAACAAAAGATACTGATGGTTACCAAGCAATTAAGAACATCCCATGTCTCTCAACTCTCATGTTTCGGTAGCAAAGGAATAATCTCAAGACATCAATGACACTAAAAGATTTGAGATTGCATCACATACGCTGGTTATAGGTAAGTGTCTTCTCCTCTGAATTATAGTTTCAATAAGACGATAAAATTGAGTACAAAAAATGGTTGCAAAATTAAGTCAGCTTAGATAATTGCTGCAGCAGAAGATTAATAATTTTGGCTAGCGTTCGACACTACTAAAACCAAATACTGAATGCAGGCCATCCTCCCACTTTCAAGTTTTAAGGTAAAATTTTGTTTTCAGTAATTGCCCTGATAACATAACCCCTAAGCTGTGAGTTCAAATCAGAGAAATGATGTGTTTGAATATAAAGAGCTTAAACAATCTTAAACCAACAAAATATAGCATTGAAAGATTTGAACCTCAAATTGTAATTGCAAGAGGGAAAAAGAAAATTGGTCGATCTAGTACTGTGCGCAGACAATGAGAAAATTTGAGTACCTGACCAATAGTTGGTGTTTCTGAGAGTTTCTGCAACATCTCTAAATCTTTCGGGCAGAAAATTGCGTTATTCCCAGCCAAGATACTTAGTGAAGGGAACCATTTCTGGGTCATCCACCAATGCAATAACCAAGGAGTGTAATGTGCAACTCGGAATGTCCATTGGTCTGATAGCTGCAGCTTACCAAGGGATTCTCTTAATAGATCAGCAGGAAAGTGACGCCACCAGTAGTTCACGAAAGGAACTACCAGGGAAGCTCCAGACAATCTGCAAATAATGTATCACAGTATCAGTAATATTAGATACAAGCTTTCCTAACATAAAAGAGAGAGATTGACATTAAATTTTGTTGAAAATAAAACATAGGCAAAACTCGTAGTCTGGTAGTTAAACTAGGTATCATGCCTGTGTGGTATGTATTTCAAGCAACTCCAAACAGGGTAAGCTCCCATTGAGATTCCGATTACATAAAATTTAGACCCAATCAGCAACTTGTCAGCTAGCTCTTGAATATCAAAAGCTTCGCTCTTCACAGAACGTGAAGGATATGGATCACTCTCTCCATAGCCAGCTCTGTCGAAGAACAGGAAATATATCCTTAACTCCTCTATGAGTTCCTGACAAACAAAACCGAACAGAAGGCATTCCACTTGTATCAAAGAAGGAATGAGTGAGAGGTGCACTAATGATGCACTATAAATGCAAATATTTAAATCCATCACATCTTCCAAATCCAAATTGAGGTAGAGAAGACCAGAGAGGAGTTCAACATTAGCATTCATGTCTAGTGCAGATGATCACCAGTTATTCATTTTATTCAAATCTTGGCATACTCCAACATATGACATAACATCGGCATGCTTCAATAATTAGTTATATTCCTCACAATACAGTAACCAATTACAGTGAGATCATTTCCTTTTCCTAATATTCCATGGAACATAAATGAGTGCTCCTACCTACCCATCATATCAACTCAATGTTGCAGCATATCCATCTCAGATTGATAAAAGTTATAACAACTAGTGCAGGACTGAAAATAAGTGTTGGTTCATACTTGAGTGACAGGCAAACTCATATCTTTGGAACTTAAAAAGCCATGAATGACGATGATCTTGTGTTTCGCCTCTTCTTTTGGAACTCCAAATTCCCTGTAAGCCAAATGCCTACCATCACTGAGTTTTACTCTAGGAGAAGTGACAGGAGGACCGTCCGGCGATCCACATATTTTGGGAGGGGGAGGCTTTAGTGCCTGATAAGCCCATCCAAGAAGACCCACAGTCAAAGCTATTGCTACTGGTCCAATCATTTCTGGGAGAAAATAGTACCAGAGGGTCTACCATGTTAGTAGCACAATCATTGAACAAATATATAGATAATATTTGCTTTTGCTGTGTGGTACGACATGATAAATCGTTGCAAGAATTATAGATTGGATACCTTGGTAATTTGGTTTTAAAATTTATACACCAAAAAAATATGGAATGCATCTCAGTTTATTAGTTATGTACTTTTACAAAACCTAAATAGAAGCAGCAGAAATGTTGGTAATATACGGCATCAGATAAAATTCTACTGAAGGAACAAGAAAGTATATCAATTTCGTTCACAAAGATTAACAATTATCTCAAATACAAAAGTGTTCATATCTTTTGGAACAATCAAATGCAGGTAAGTAAGAATTTTAGCAAACTACGACAACCCAACTAGCAAAAATAAAAGAGGAGGGCTAGTGGAAATACCCTTGTGGCCCTCCTCATTCAGGTTCGAGGCTTCCCCCACCCTCTTTCCCCTCAGAACCCCATCTAACCAGCAAAAATTGAAAATAATAATAAAAAAGAAAGAAAATAGGAAACTGACCTGAAAAATAGAAAAGAAGTCGGTCTGGTCTTGCTCTGTTCCAGCCTTTTCTGAAGCAGCTGATACCTTGTTGCTCAACCGACCCAGCAAGTGAATTTTAAAGAAAGTAAAAAAGAAAGAAACAAATAAATCCCAAAATCCTGGAAGAAATCAAAACCCCACCTCAAAAAAATGAAAAGAAAGATATTGGGAAAATTGCTGTGTTTCTGGAGTGAGGACTTATTGCTGGAATATTGCTCATTCCACCTATTTCTTCCCTTTAAAATGCAGCCAGTAAGTACAGACAACACATGTCACTGTGAAGAAGAAGACCCACAAGAAAAATTGAACCGCAAAATGGCATGCAATAATGCCAATCAATTATGTTTTATATACTTTTAGAGGAAACCACAAAATGACATGCAATAATGCCATTCAATTATGTTTTATTTACTTTCAGAGGAAATCAGGGTGAGACGTGAAAGACTTGCCATTTTAATGCCTGCCCTTTCATCATCTCTTGATTTTCATTGGGATACTGACAGGTGAATACAATCGAGTCGTAGAGCTGGTGAGAATTGTGTCAAAAACAAAACCAGACAAATATTCCAACTAAGAAAAATCCAGACATTCAAATAAAATTGAGGAAAATGATTTCCGTTTTCTCCTTCTACAAAACTTTGATTTTTTAATCCAACAGTTAGAAGATAAAAGAGAAGTATGGGAGAAAAAAAAAAAGAGTGCGGAAATCATTTCTTTAACACCAATTGTATAGTACTGAAGCCTGCTCAATGCCTTTTTTTTTTTTTAATCACATATGAAAAAGGTTCAATGGAACAATATTTTCAATACATAAACACTGTTGCCCATACGCTAACTAAAACTGCAATACAAGAAATCATGTAGTGCAGTTTTAATTAGTTGTGGGACCCATACCTCATAGATATCGGAACAACATACATGGACAAGCGAATTGGATCATCAGTGACTCTGTATATATAAGAGGAAGCTCTCCCTCTTCCTCTCTCTCTGCCACATCTGTCCAAATCGGTAGTCGCTGTCCTCTCAACCATGCATAGCATTCTCAATGTATGGATCAATGGCAATGGAACTGAACCCGCGTCTCTGCGGCAATGTACCATGTTAGAGCAAGTCTAGCGTTGTTGGTTGCTCGGGGGACGGGGGAGAGAAAAGGGGCCTGAGGCCCTGTGGGCCGGCTCCAACGTTGGAGAGCCCGGGTGGAGGTGGAGGCCCGAGCTCCAGGCCCGTGGAGAATTGCCAGCCCGAGAGCCCGAGAGCCTGAGGCCCTGTGACGCCAGCGCTGACGTCAGCCTAGCGTCAAGCCTTTTTTAATTTTTTTTCTATCAAGCGCGTGCACCCCACTCGAGCGTGGGGGCGTGTCGCCGACACAAAATCAGAAAAAAAATTGCTTTTTCAGTTACCGTTGGGAAGCCAAGTGGCTTCCCACGGTCCGTTCGATCTCAACGAATCTTTAATTTGGACCGTTCGATCTCAACGGTCAAAAAAAAAGAAGTCTTATTTAATATCCACCGTTCGATCTGAGATCAACGGTGGATATTAATATGCTTTATAAATAAAAAAATAAAAGAAAAAATAGTTTTAAAATTAAGAAAAGTTACCGTTGTGACACGTGACACAATCTGGAGTGTTGGAATTTAAATTTTTTTATATCCAACGGCAGAGATTAATTAGTTGAATAAAAATTTAAAAAAAATTGTAAAAAATTCAAAAAAAAAATCTGAATTTTTTTAAAAAAAATTGTTTTTACATTTCTATAAATACCTTCTCATTATCATCTACCTTACACAACAATTTCATATTTTCTCAACTACTTTCAATCACATTCCTTTCTTTGTCTCAAAGTTTCAATCCATTTTTTTTCAACAAAATGACCACTGGTGCAGGTATGAATTAGTTGCTTCTTGAAGATGTTGCGTTGTGTACTAGCTGGGTTGTACTCATAGTTCGCTTACAGGTAATGAGATGCAGTTGCGAGAAATGTGGAGTCTTATTCATATCAATTATCTTGAGAAAATTGGTGGGAAAAGAACCAAAGAATCAATGTCCAGTCGTTGAAAATTACTTAGCCAATCGTTTAGTACGTGGAGAGACGCCTTGGCACAAGCTAGTAGTAGTAACACATGTCACTATGAAGAAGAAGACCCACAAGAAAAATTGAACCGCAAAATGGCATGCAATAATGCCAATCAATTATGTTTTATTTACTTTTAGAGGAAACCACAAAATGACATGCAATAATGCCAATCAATTATGTTTTATTTACTTTCAGAGGAAATCAGGGTGAGACGTGAAAGACTTGCCATTTTAATGCTTGCCCTTTCATCATCTCTTGATTTTCATTGGGATACTGACAGGTGAATACAATCGAGTCGTAGAGCTGGTGAGAATTGTGTCAAAAACAAAACCAGACAAATATTCCAACTAAGAAAAATCTAGACATTCAAATAAAATTGAGGAAAATGATTTCCGTTTTCTCCTTCTACACAACTTTGATTTTTTAATCCAACAGTTAGAAGATAAAAGAGAAGTACGTGAGGAAAAACAAAAGAGTGCGGAAATCATTTCCTTAACACCAATCGTATAGTACTGAAGCCTGCTCGATGCCTTTTTTTTTTTTTTTTTTTTAATCACATATGAAAAAGGTTCAATGGAACAATATTTTCAATACATAAACACTGTTGCCCATAAGCTAACTAAAACTGCAATACAAGAAATCATGTAGTGCAGTTTTAATTAGTTGTGGGACCCACACCTCATAGATATCGGAACAACATACATGGACAAGTGAATTGGATCATCAGTGACTCTGCATAAATAAGAGGAAGCTCTCCCTCTTCCTCTCCCTCTGCCACAGCTGTCCAAATCGGTAGTCGCTGTCCTCTCAACCATGCATAGCATTCTCAATGTATGGATCAATGGCAATGGAACTGAACCCGCGTCTCTGCGGCAATGTACCATGTTAGGAAAATTACATGTCCGTTTGATCACGTTGCATCCTGCATACGTCTGCCCCGTGAATTAGTTGCCATACCATACAAGTCTTCTGTCATGTGGTTTACAAATAGGCTAACAAAAATTGTACTACCAAAAGTCTTTGCAGGAGCAGGAACCATTCTCAAAACAGTGGAAACGGTTTTGGTCTCTCACAACAACTCGGCAATTGTAAATGCGAGAAACCAGTTTGATAAACGAATGGCAATCACAGCAAACCCTTAAGTTTTTCACTATATGAATAGGAGCTCCGTTGCTAGTGTTTATTAGTCCAAATGCAAGTGCCATCTTCTCGCTGTGAAGGGTAAGTGAGCTCTCTTTGTTTTCCTCTTCAATATCCAGAAGAACTTGAGTCAGGTCAGGCTTATATCCTTCCAATTTCAACCTAGAGACCACCTCTTCTATCTTCGAAAGAACCTCGACGTTACATTTAACATCCATTTCCTTTCCCACAAGAAATTCATGAACCTTCCCGTTCACAAGGATTGAACTGGATCCGGGAATCTTTCTCACTCCTCTTTGTCTCATCATTAATCTGACCTTGCGCACATCATCCCATCTCCCAACTTTGGCGTAAATATTTGAGAGGAGAACGTAACAACTTGAGTCTTCGGGAGCTAACTCTATGGCCTTCAAGGCAGCACTTTCCCCAATTGCTACATCACCATTCTGCACACAAGCGCTGAGAATAGCTTTCCAAACAATAACATCAGCCTCCATGGGCATATTCTGTACAATCTCAACAGCATCATCCAACTGCCCACCTCTACCTAAGAGATCAATAATGCATCCATAGTGCTGAATTGTAGGGATGATTTTGTACTTCTCCTGCATGAGTTTAAAACAAAACTTGCCCTCTTCAACTAGACCTCCATGACTACAAGCACTCAACAGTCCTAAGAAAGTGATCTCATCTGGCTTGATTTCTTTTGTTTTCATGTCAAGGAATACCTCCAGAGCTTGATGACCAAGCCCATGCATTGCAAGGCCGGAGATCACACAGTTCCAGTCCCCGACATTTTTATAATGGGATACCTGTTTGAAGACATGATAGGCATTTTCTATATGTCCACATTTCGCATACATGTCTATAAGAGCCGAAGCAATAAACCCAGAACTCAGCTTAATCTTATTTGTCAAAATGTAAGTATGCACCCATTTGCCTTCGTCAACAAAACCCAACTCGGTGATGGCTGATAGAACACTAACAAGAGCAGGGGCATCAGGTTGAATTCTGACATTCAATATTTCCCTAAATAAACCCAATGCTTCCTTCGGACGGTGATTGAATACATATGCTGAAACCATTGATGTCCAAGTAACCACGTCTTTTTCATTCATAGACCTAAAAACCTGCTCTGCAAGCTCACACTTCCCACTCTTCCCATACCCATCAATCATCGCATTGCACGAAACCAAGTCCCTTTCGGGCATCTTATTGAAAAGCTCATGAGCCAAATCAATCTCCCGCACCCTCAAACAACCTGTAATCAGTGAATTCCAAGAAATTACATCTCTCTGATGCATTTTATCAAACACCCTCTTTGCCAATTCAATCTCTCCCAGCTCCGAGTACATCCTGATCAATGCGTTCGCCACATACATATCAAACAACAACTGGGTTTTCAACACTTGGCCATGAACTTGCCTCCCCTCCTCCAAAGCCCGCGACTTGCCGCACGCTTTCAGTACAGCAGGGATCGAAAATTCGACGCCATCCAAACTTTTCAAAGAAGAGAGCATATGCGCATAGAGAACTACAGCTTCCAACGGATTCGCACTGTCAGAAATGTGCCTTATGAGTGTGAAAAACATGAAGGGATTGGGGTTTTCAATTCGACGAAAGACCGAAAGGGCGTGCTCCAGGCCGCCAGAGAGAGAACAGGAGGATACGAGTTTGTTTATGATCAAATTGTGGGTAACGAGGTTTGTTTTGATAATGTGGGCGTGGAGTTGCCGGAGTTCAGACATTGTTCTGCATTTCTCAAACGTTGGGAGGGTTTGGGCGACAAGCATACAGGGAGGGCTGCCGCTGGTTGCCATGCTACTCAAAAATAGACACGGGCTGAAGCTTCCCGCTTTACTCTTCAATCAAAGCTACTGTACAATTAGCAGTTACCGCCTAAAAGGTACTGTATTGTTATTTTCGGGTAACCCGCATTTTACACCTAATGCTGGTGTTCCTCCGTTTGGAAATCTACTTGTCCCCCATTTCTGATTAACATATATTTGGCGTATGAACTTCATATTCGAAACCGTTTATTATCTTTATCATCATCTAAAAATCACATTTACAAAAAATTATTCAATTTTAATATCGTTTAGTCATCCATACGTGTCAAAC